CAGTCTTCAAGCTGGCACTGGACAAGCACCTAAAGTCGGTTCCTGATCAGCCGGGCTGTGGCTCGTACGTTGGTTTGCGTGCAGCCAGCAGCAACAGCCTGGTTGATCAGGCTCTGATCCACCAGGAGGCCTGGTCACAGACTGGGCTGCGGTGGCGTTGACCCTCGGAACTCTCTCCAGGTAAACTCCAGGTAAACAGGTGATAATGGTGGTGACACTCTACACACGTGATTATGTTGGTGACACTGTACTTAGGTGATAACGGCAATGATTCTATACACGGGTGATAATGGTGTTGACACTGTACACAGATGATAATGGTGGTTACACTGTACGTAGTTGATAATGGTGGTGACTTTGCACACAGGTGATAATGGCGATGACACTGTACACACGTGATAATGGTAGTGACACTTTACACAGGTGATAATGGTGGTGACACTCTACGCTCTTGATAATGGTAGTGACACTGTACACAGGTGATAATGGTGGTGGCACTGTACGATCTTGATAATGGTAGTGACATTTTACACTGGTGATAATGGTGGTAGCACTGCACGCTCTTGATAATGGTAGTGACACTGTACACAGGTGATAATGGTGGTGACACTTACATAGGTGATAATTTTGGTGACACTGTGCACATGTGATAACGATAGTGGCAATGTACACAGGTGATAATTGTGGTGACACTATACACAAGTGATAATGGTGTTGACAATGTACACAGGTGATAAAGGTGGTTGCACTGGACACAGGTTATAATGGTGGTGACACGGTACAAAGGTGATAATGGTGGTGGCACTATACACAGATGATAATTGTTGTGACACTTTACACAGGTGATAACGGTGGTGACACTTTACACAGGTGATAATGGTTATGACACTGTTCACAGGTGATAATGGTGGTGACACTTTAAACAGGTGATAATGGTGGTGATACTGTACACAGGTGATAATGATAGTGACCCTGTACACAGGTTATAATAATAGTGACACTGTACTCAGGTTATAATGGAGGTGACACTGTTCACAGGTGGTAATTGCGGAGACAGTTTACAGAAGTGATAATAGTGGTGACACTGTATGCATGTGATAATTGAGGTTACACTTCTCCCTGGTGATAATGGTGGTTACACTGTACACAATTGATAATGGCGGTGACACTGTGCATAGGTGATGACGGTGGAGACACTATACACAGATGATAATGGTGTCGACACTGTACACAGGTGATAATGGTTGTGGCACTGTACACAGGTGATAATGGTCCCGATACTATGCACAGGTGATAATGGTGTAGACACTGTTCACAGGTGATAATAGTTGACACTATACACTATACGCAGGTGTTAAAGATGATGACACTGTACACAGGTTATAACGATGGTGACACTGTTCACAGATGATATTGGTGGCGATACTGTACACAGGTGGTAATGATGGTGACACTATACGCAGGTTGTAATAGTGGTGACACTGTACACAGGAGATAATGGTGGTGATACTGTTGAAAGGTGATATTGGTGGTGATACTGTTAACAGGTGATAATGATGGTGACACTGTACACAGGTGGCAATGGTGGTGACACTGTACACAGGAGATAATGGTGGAGACAGTGTACATAGGTGTTAATTGTGGTTACACTTTACGCAGGTGATAATGGTGGTTACAATGACCATAGGTTATAATGGTGGAGACACTGTACACAGGTGGTAATGGTGGTGACATTGTACACAGGTTATAATGGTGTTGACAGTGTACACAGGTGATAATAGTGGTGACACTGTACACAGTTGATAATGGTGCTGTCACTATACACAGGTTATAATGGTTGTGACACTGTACAAATGCGATAATGTTGGTGATACTGTACACAGGTGATAATGGCAGTCACACTATGAATGGGTGATGATGGTGGTGACACTGTACACAGATGATAATGGTAGTTACACTGTATGTAATTTCCTCACAAACAGAACACAAAGAGTAGTAGTCAACAGAGTCAAGTCCGAGGCAGCTACGGTGAAAAGCTCTGTTCCACAGTTCCAGAGTCACTTGTTTGCACAGAACTGCTAAATGCCTCAAATGATGTAGTGGAAGTTTTAGCAGTAAAGGTCGAGAACCAAAACCTAGTCAATTGTGGTAGTCTACAAGCCTCCGATGCAACATCCCAGCAATTCCAGGAACAGCTGTTAAAAATTGACCACTGTCTGGAAAACCTTCCAGCTCCTGCACCCAACATCTTGCTCCTGGGGATTTCAACTTAAGGCACCTAAAATGGAGGAATATAGCAAATAATATTGTTGCAGTAATAACACCAGGAGGCAGCTCTGATGAAAACTCACACTCACACGAGCTTTTAAATCTCTGCACAAAATTCAATTTAAACCAGCAAATAGAGCCTACCAGACTGGAGAATACACTAGACCTCATCTTCACTAACAATGATGATCTGATAAGAAATGTCACCATATCAAAAACAATATACTCAGATCACAACATAATTGAGGTTCAGTCATGTATGCGCGGAGCCCCAGACCGACATAATGAGATTAGTCACGAGGGAGCATTCACCAAATTCAACTTCAATAACAAAAACATAAAGTGGGAGCAAGTAAACCAAGTCCTAACCGATATAAGCTGGGAAGATATAATAAGCAACACAGACCCCAACTTATGCCTAGAACAGATTAACACGGTGGCACTCGATGTATGCACAAGGCTTATTACTCTAAGAAAAAGGAGGAGTAGATGTAAAACAGAAAGAGACAGGCGCTCCCTTTACAGGCGACGGAAAAGAATAACAGAGCGGCTAAAAGAGGTCAATATATCTGAAATGCGTAGGGAGACACTGGTCAGAGAAATAGCAAGCATCGAACTTAAGCTAAAAGAATCCTTTAGGAGTCAGGAATCGCGGGAAGAACTAAAAGCCATAAATGAAATCGAAAGAAACCCAAAGTATTTCTTCTCCTATGCCAAATCAAAATCAAGAACAATGTCCAGTATTGGGCCCCTACTTAAACAAGATGGGTCCTACACAGATGACAGCAAGGAAATGAGTGAGCTACTCAAGTCCCAATATGACTCAGTTTTAGCAAGCCGCTAACCAGACTGAGAGTCGAAGATCAAAATGAATTTTTTATGAGAGAGCCACAAAATTTGATTAACACAAGCCTATCCGATGTTATCCTGACTCCAAATGACTTCGAACAAGCGATAAATGACATGCCCATGCACTATGCCCCAGGGCCAGACTCATGGAACTCTGTGTTCATCAAGAACTGCAAGAAGCCCTATCACGACCTTTCCATCCTATGGAGAGGGAGCATGGACATGGGGGTCGTCCCACAGTACTAAAAACAACGACATAGCCCACTCCACAAAGGGGGCAGTAAAGCAACAGAAAAGAACTTCAGACCAATAGCACTAACATCCCATATCATAAAAATCTTTGAAAGGGTCCTAAGAAGCAAGATCACCACCCATCTAGAAACCCATCAGTTACACAACCCAGGGCAACGTGGGTTTAGAACAGGTCGCTCCTGTCTGTCTCAACTATTGGATCACTACGACAAGGTCCTAAATGCACTAGAAGACAAAAAGAATGCAGATGTAATATATACAGACTTTGCAAAAGCCTTCGACAAGTGTGACCATGGTGTAATAGCGCACAAAATGCGTGCTAAAGGAATAACAGGAAAAGTCGGTAGATGGATCTATAATTTCCTCACTAACAGAACACAGAGAGTAGTCGTCAACAGAGTAAAGTCCGAGGCAGCTACGGTGAAAAGCTCTGTTCCACAAGGCACAGTACTCGCTTCCTTCTTGTTCCTCATCCTCATATCCGACATAGACAAGGATGTCAGCCACAGCACCATGTCTTCCTTTGCAGATGACACCCGAATCTGCATGACAGTGTCTTCCATTGCAGACACTGCAAGGCTCCAGGCGGACATCAACCAAATCTATCAGTGGGCTGCAGAAAACAATATGAAGTTCAACGATGAGAAATTTCAATTACTCAGATATGGTAAACATGAGGAAATTAAATCTTCATGAGAGTACAAAACAAATTCTGGCCACAAAATAGAGCGAAACACCAACGTCAAAGACCTGGGAGTGATCATGTCGGAGGATCTCACCTTCAAGGACCATAACATTGTATCAATCGCATCTGCTAGAAAAATGACAGGATGGATAATGAGAACCTTCAAAACTAGGGAGGCCAAGCCCATGATGACACTCTTCAGGTCACTTGTTCTATCTAGGCTGGAATATTGCTGCACACTAACGGCACCTTTCAAGGCAGGTGAAATTGCCGACCTAGAGAATGTACAGAGAACTTTCACGGTGCGCATAACAGAGATAAAACACCTCAATTACTGGGAGCGCTTGAGGTTCCTAAACCTGTATTCCCTGGAACGCAGGAGGGAGAGATACATGATTATATACACCTGGAAAATCCTAGAGGGACTAGTACTGAATTTGCACACGAAAATCACTCACTACGAAAGCAAAAGACTTGGCAGACGATGCACCATCCCCTCAATGAAAAGCAGGGGTGTCACTAGCACGTTAAGAGACCATACAATAAGTGTCAGGGGCCCGAGACTGTTCAACTGCCTTCCAGCACACATGAGGGGGATTACCAACGGACCCCTGGCAGTCTTCAAGCTGGCACTGGACAAGCACCTAAAGTCAGTTCCTGATCAGCCGTTCTGTGGCTCGTACGTTGGTTTGCTTGCAGCCAGCAGCAACAGCCTGGTTGATCAGGCTCTGATCCACCAGGAGGCCTGGTCACAGACCGGGCCGCGGGGGCGTTGACCCCCGGAACTCTCTCCAGGTAAACTCCAGTTGACAATCGTTGTGACACTGTACACAGGTGATAATGGTGGTGACACTGTACACAGGTGATAATGGTGGTGACATTGTACACAGGTGATAATGGTGGTGACACTGTACACAGGTGATAATGGTGGTGACATTGTCCACAGGTTGATGATCTTGGTGGTATGAGTGAGAGCATCAAGAGACTGTTGGAGGCTGGCCTGGTGTTGGGTGTCCTGCAAGATCAAGATGACCTCCGCTACTCCAGGATAACTTTACAAGATGATCAACTGTATCTCCACACTCTCCAGCATCAACCACCACCCACCCACACCCACACCATCCAGGTACTTTTTTACACTTCCACTCTTACTGTACCACCAATATTATCCAGGTATTTTTTTACACTACCACTCTTACTGTACCACCACACTATCCAGGTACTTTATTACACTACCACTCATACTGTACCACCACACTATCCAGGTACTTTATTACACTACCACTCATACTGTACCATGTTATAAATGACTATAATTCCTTTTAGAAACATCATATAATGATGATAATTATACCGGGATTTTGCCAGAAAGTTCAACTATTTTTTGGTAAGAATTACTCAATTCTCGTATTTTTCTTTTTTTTTTTTACTCTGCATGCTAGGAACCTTAGTGCCCCCTAGGGCACCTAAAATGAAGGGGCATAGCAAATAATGTAGCAGGCATAACACCAGGAGGCAGCTCAAACGAAAACTCGCACACACACGAGCTTTTAATAAACCAGCAATTGATAGAGCCTACATGATTGGAGATATGCTGGACCTCATCATCACTAACAATGATGATCTGTTTTGAAATGTCACCATTTCAAAAGCAATTTAAAAGAGGTCCAGACATGTGTGCGAGGAGCCCCAGACCGACAAAATATGATCAGTCACGAGGGAGCCCTCTCCAAATTCAACATCAGTAACAAAAACATAAGGATGGACCAAGTAAACCGAGTCCTAAGTGATATAAACTGGGAAGATAGCCTGAGCAACATGGATCCCAACCAATGTCTTGAAGAAATTAACTCTGTGGCACTTGAGGTATGTTCAAGGCATATTCCCTTAAGGAAAAAGAGTAGAAGTTGTAAATTAGAAAAAGAAAGGCACTCCCTATATGGGCGAAAGCAAAGAATAACAGAGCGGCTACAAGAGAGCAATATATCTGCAATACTTAGTGAGACACTGGTCAGAGAAATAGCAGACATCATAACTAAAGCTAAAGGATTCTTACAGGAGTCAAGAAACGCGAGAAGAACTAAAAACCATAAATGAAACTGTAACCCAAGGTATTTCTTTTCTTATGCCAAATCAAAGTTTAGAACAACATCCAGTATTGGGCCCCTACTTAAATGGGATGAGTCCTACACAGATGACAGTAAGGAAATGAGTTAGCTACTTAAGTCGCAGTATGACTTGGTTTTTAGCAAGCCACTAACCAGACTGAGAGTCGCAGACCTAAATTAATTTTTAATGAGAGAATTTACTAGACACACAGCTAGCTGATATTATCCTTATGCCAAATGACTTCGATAAGGCGATAAATGACATGCCCATGCACTCTGCCCCAGGCCCAGACTCATGGAACTCCGTGTTCATCAGGAATTGCAAGAAGCCCCTATCACATGCCTTTAAGATCTTGTGGAGAGGGAGCATGGACATAGGGGTCGTCGCACAGTTACTTAAAACAACAGACAGCCCCACTCCACAAAAGAGGCAGAAAGCAATAGCAAAGACCTACAGACTGATAGCACTAACTTCCCACATCATAAAACTCTTTGAAAGGGTTCTAAGAAGTAAGATCACCACCCATCTAGATACCCATCAGCTACACAACCCAGGCCAGCATGGGTTTAGATCAGGTCGCTCCTGTCTGTCCCAACTACTGGACCACTACGGCAAGGTCCTGCATGCTCTAAACAGATGAAATATGCAGAGATTTTCCAAAAGCCTTTGACAAGTGTGACCATGGTGCAATAGCGCACAAAATCCGTGATAAAGGAATAACAGGAAAAGTCGGTAGGTGGATCTAAAATTTCCAAACAAATAGAACACAAAGAATAGTAGTCAACAGAGTAAAGTCTGAGGCAGCTATGGTGAAAAGATCTGTTACACAAGGCACAGTACTCGCTCCCATCTTGTTTTTCGTCCTCATATCCGACATAGACAGGGATATAAGCCACAGTGCCATATCTTCCTTTGCAGATGACACAAAAATCTGCATGACAGTGTTCTCCATTGAAGACACTGCAAGATTCCAGGCGGGCATCAGCCAAATCTTTAAATGGGCTCGTAGAAAACAATATGAAGTTCAATAATGAGAAATTCCAATTACTCTCATATGGAAAACGTGAGGAAATTAAAATTCCATCAAAGTATAAAACAAATTCCAACCACACAATAGAGCGAAAAATTAATGTAAAAGACCTGGGTGTGATCATGACACAGAATCTCACCTTCAAGGACCATAACATTGTATCAATTGCATCTGCTAGAAAAATGAAAGGATGGATAATGAGAATTTTCAAAAACAGTGATGCCAAGCCCATGATGACACTCTTGAGGTTTCTTGTTCTATCTAGGCTGGAATATTGCTGCACACTAACAGCACCTTCCAAGGCAGGTGAAATTGCTAACCCCAAAAAATGTACAGAGAACTTTCATGGCACACAAATGCAATAAACCACCTCGATTACTGGGAACACTATAAGTTCCTAAACCTGTACTCCCTAGAATGCAGGAGGGAGAGATACATATGATTATATACACCTGGAAAATCCTAGAGGGGCTAATACCAAACTTCCACACAAAATTCACTCCCTACGAAAGCAAAAGACTGGGCAGACAGTGCAACATTCCCCCAATGAAAAGCAGTCATTGTCCTCATCGCTCTCGGGCCATGTGGACGGGCTGCGCAGTAGCTCCTGAATCAACTGGTTTTCTGCGCAGTTTTCCTGTTTTGGAGCAATCAACATGGCGGATCGACATGGTCGCCGGGTGAACACTGTATGTGTTGAATTGGTTCATGGCTCGCTTACAGGAACAACAATGCAGGTGTTACTGCCTACGATCATCGGTGAAGTTTATGGCATACCGAATGAAGAATTATATTGAGTGGCCATAAATGGTATTTTTTTTATATATATTTTATTTAAAATACAGTATACATTATACATGGAAGCAAACATATGTCACTAAACCAATCGACATGGAACAACAAATTAAAGTACAACATAAGTATACACAATCCAAAAAAGAAAAAGAAACGCTTCACACAAGTGTACCATCAACATATCCAGATAGTCTACACCAGCACACTTATACATCTTATGTCAAGTTTTATATACAAAACAATTCTTAAAGATAAAAGCCTCGCCACATACCATTAAAACCTATACATCCCCAGCAAAAGTACATTTATTAAGATACTACTTGCTCTAAGTAACAATTATGAAAACTTTGCCTCACATGCAAGGATGATATACTCTATTTCTCAACATGGGTGCAATCCACCCAATACTTCCTCATACACTGTATACCCTATAGCAGTATTAATACATGACATACACCACTACTTGAACTCATATACATACCTGCTCCAACAAAGTCAATCTAAAATTGTGTATTTACACAAAATCAATATACATTTTTATATTACCTTACAGAATACTCTTACATGCGACTTGAAACATTAAAATAGCAAAGGGAAACAAACAGCGTGTGCTTAAAATGTACACTACTACCCAGCACATACAATGTCACATGACATGTACTATATAACCTTAGCCAGGCCTCTGAAACATTATATGTTAGGCCTTATGTGCTAAAATAGAATCTCACTTAATATTAAATACTATGCCACGTTGCTCATTACAGCTATTTACACTTCCGAGCCTTCCGATATACAGATGTTGTGCCCTACAGTATGTTTCCTATGAGAAGGGAAACCCCGGACTTAGTATCACAGCATATTCTAAACAGTCATATGGCATACCTTAGTAACACCACGTAGTATGTGCTTTCTATAACATCTTTGAAGACACTCTCACAATACCAAACAGTCATTCTCGCGCACACAAATACTGTAAGATTCTACCCTTCCACTCACCTTAAATACACACAATGATGTAGTGCTCCAATACACTACGTACATGTACTATCCAAAACCTTCACAACATAAAGGAAACACATATGTGTAATACCACCACCCACACCACTCTCGCTACACAGGAAAAGCATAAATGTTTCAGGACAAATCCAACCACACTAAAATCCATCCACACATCCCCACTCAAGAAACTAGCTCGCCGTTACCCCTTACACTTAAATCCCGTAAATCCTTCAACTTAAAACTCCAGTATCCCTCAGTAAACACTGTCTCCCACCTTCCCCCATAAAGATCCCTATTGCGACACTTAATTCTATAAATGGTGGCCGCTAACACCTTTATTCTTTCATCCACACCCACCTCCCTCACACCCACCTCCCTCACACCCACCTCCCTCATGACCCAAGACATATAAATAAAATCAGTGACCACATACGCAACCGCATTCACCACCATCTGACTCATCCCACCTATATCTAAACTTAACACCCTTAACACCTGTAACCCTTCCCCACCCACTAACCTAACTACCCTACCTAACCATACCCTCACAGCTTCTAAACATTTGCAAAAATACACCGCATGAAAAATGGTCTCCAAACATCCACACGCTTTGCACTCCCCACCCTCCCTTAGTCTCCTGTTAAATAACACAACACCAGACGGCAAGATTTCATGTAAAAACCTAAACATTACCTCCCTTACACCTGGTTTAACACGCAATTGCCGTAAACATTTCCAGATATTCCCCCACGCATTGGGTATGCCCCCTCAACTGCCGCCACCACAGACCCACCACCCACTCTCTCAAGAACCTTCAATTTGAGGTGAGCCGGATCCCTCACCGTCATTAAAACCCGCAACATTGCCTCACCAATCATTAAATCCCTACCCCCCACCATCGTTGCATATCCATACGCAGTCTTTCTAGCCCCCCTCTCCTCCCCCCCTCCCTCAAATAGCCACGTTTTAGATACACACTCATCATACGCTTTTCTAAAGGTATAAGCCCCAGCCCCCCCTGGCTAGCGGGAAGCATCACCACCCCTCTACTTAGCCGGTCACAACCTGATCCCCATATAAATCTGAAAATCACATGTTGCAACCGTTGCACCTCTTGCCGCCTCAATGGGTATATTGCTACCATGTGCCATAGCTTGCTATACAACAGGACGCTCATCACAATAACCCTCTGA